GATTGCGCCACAACCCCCCTGAGGCGTCAATATTACAAATGCAGATTGCGGGCTATCCATAAGAGGGCAGTGCCGGCGTACCTGGCGTTCCTTTTTTTACAAAAGGTTGACAGAGTGTGACGCTTTCCATGCCGTGTGACGCTTCCACGTCATTTGACGCTTCCACGCCATGTGTCCCTCCCACGTCATGTGTCCCTTCCACGCCATGTCTCCCTTACCACATCGCTCACAATACCGCTGGTACAGTGGCGCGTTGGTGGCTGGGGTGAGTGAGACTTAGCGGCGTCCAGCAGAGGTCCGACAACCGCTCCACTACCCGTCCACAGGTCGGCGCTACCCGTCCATGGGAACTATGCGAATGCTATGTATTTCACAAATACGGTGGACGGCTGCCTTACCAAGTTCCAAATTTGTCTTTTTCAAGATGCGGGGAAGTAGGCCTCACAAACGTTGCCCCGGTCAGAAAAGGAGCGATACCCGTCTAGCGGTGCCGATAATGTGAAAGCTACGCATGCATCTGACGCCCTTACTTTGGGTTTATTCCAAAGCACGAGCTCTTTCTTAAGTCATGCAGATTATGAAGCGAGGACATCATGCGTATTTGTTTTCATGTTTAAAAAGACTGAGAGAGCCGTAAACAGCGCTAGATGGTGATGGTGGTGCCGTGTGGCCCTTGTCAGCCAGTGCGCTTGGAATTGTATTCGCATCCATTTGATAATTTTCATAAAGCTGAGATTATAGACAGGCAATAGCCCAAACCGTAATCCATCGGAATGATTACCTTCAACTGTTGTGCCGTTGATTGGATTATGAAATTAACTGCGTGCTTATGGCAATAGTCCATGATGAATCTGGTTTATCACAGTGCTGTTCTAAGAAGCGTGTTTTAGATTTTCATGCAATTTATCTTAATGTCAGTGCGATCGCGAAGTCTACTGAGAAAACGCATTTGCTTTTTAACGATTTTTACTGATAACAAATGGTTTGTTTTACGAGCAGTTCGGTAGAGGCCAACTAAATGTCGTTTAATAAAGTTTTGTGGTGCTGAACATGATTTTTGTCTCCGTCAGATGGAAGCAGTTCGTTCCTACGTTCTTACTTTCTTGGTTTCTTTATAAGTACCTTTTCAACCTTATCGACCCTTGAACAGCTGAACCATGGCCACTTTTGGTCTTTGTTTCCGGCCTTTCCGGTTTCCGGTCTGAAAATGTCGCAGCACTATGCCACTGGAATTCAAACAGCTAGGCTCACTGTATTGTTGGACGTTTGACGTGCGCTTGCCAGCGTCGTTAACGCTGACAACTGCAGGCAGAATCGCTCTGTTCCCTGACAACCTTTGTGGACGTAATTGGTATATCCCTGGCATTGTGTTGCGGCGTTTGTGTTCGTTAGCTGCAGCCGACGGGCACCTCGCGATTGGATTGTGTGCAACCTCGAGATCATTATGTCACCTTTGTGCTTTGTTGGCTGGTTCTATTAAAGTAATTTGTGGTGGGAGGAGACAGAAAGACTCGCTCTGCTCGTACTGAATTTAGACATTATCTTCTGTGCAAAGACGTACTCTAAGAGCCCCTTCATATATCT